TGGCCTGAAAGGCTGGATTGAAACCAGCAGAACTTTGCAGACAATTCTGCGTGGTCCCTGAGAGTTCATTTCAACCTAAGATGAAAAATAGTATTAATTCATTTTAAAGATGTGACATTCTACAGACTTAATGGCAAGGTTACACTTTTCCACTGTCTTCACAAATATGGCTATATCCTTTGGAAGAACATCCTCCTTTTTCTGAATAACCAGTGAAAGCAATAACATTACGTTTTACTTTCTTGAACAGATGCCCAGCAAGTCTGTATAAACACAAGTACTAGTCTGGAAAACAATGTATCTTAAAGCAAAGAGATTTTGCATTTGGGTTAATAATCATAGTGTAGATTTCTTTTTCAAAGAGGCACCTTTACCTGAGTTCTCTGGTTATTGTGGAATGTTCTATTCATGTAAAACATATGTAAAATTACTTATATGTCTTTAAGGCCCATTTTGGGGGAGGAAAATAATACACTGAGGTTTTCTTTCACTGACAAACATGGTTTTACACTAAACATGCTTAAATTTACTTCTGAAAAAAGGAGCTGAAAACATAGCATATTTTAATATTCCAGATTTTTATTAATATGAACTATGTGTATACTTTACACATAAAAGCACAAAAAAATCTCCTAAATGGAAATTAGGAACAAAACTATCCCATACACACCTTCTATCCCACTGCAGTTTATGAATCTGAACATGTCCATCTGCCAGTGTCAGCCTTTAATGTTTTCCATCACTGACTCTACTTTCTCATGAATAGTCTGCAACCAGAAATCCTAACTCTTGGGTAGAAAAGAATCACAAATCCATCCATTATTCACTCTGAAAATGATAAAATTAACTGTAAAAACTCCTGCATGGTACTTAAGAGTCCTTATCACCAAGAATTGCAGACAAATGGCAGGGAAAGCAGGATGAATTATGACAGGCAGGACACAACTTTAACTGAAAAGGTTGAAAAGCTACAGAAACTACTGGCCTTCTCTTGAGTAGCACACATTTTTCTAGTTCCACATAATATTTCAAAACTTAATCCCTTTGGTTACCCCACTGCTTGGCCTCCCCTGAATTCTCTTAATCCTTTCTGCACAGAGGAATGATACCTTCAACTCTTGAAGAAAGTACATCTGCAGGGCTTTCAAATGTCATGGAAACCAGACACAAATTTCAACTACAAGTCATTCTTTCATTCTCTTCTAACATTAAAGAGGTATGCAGTCACATCTTTATAACCTAAGCCTCCATCTCACCTAAAAAGAAACTGAAATTTCTTGGCTCAAAGAGCGAACACATTCTTCCTGACACAGCAACATAGAGTCAAAAAACCCTTGCAAAGAGTTCTCCCAAACATCTCAACTGCAAGTACAAACTAGCAAAAGAAGCATGCTGGCACTTAGACCACCTGGAATGATTTTTAACAGAGAATGACACTCCTGTAAGAAACAACCGAATCTCCCATATTCTAAACTGTCCCACCATTATGCCATAACCCACACATTTAATTTTTTTACAACAGAAACAGGGAAAAAGAAAGGCCATTCCTTTCTTGAAGACAAACTCTCTTGAGCCAAAGCAGAAGTCATGTCAGAGAACTCAAAGACTGTCATTCTCTGTACATTGTACAAGCAAAACTCTCCTGACTGAGAGGGAGAAAAGTTATTACTGCCAAAACATTACCCGGAAACATTATTTCCATTTTTATTTACTAACACAGAACTTTATTAAATATTAAGAAAAACATGGCAGCAGATTCTCAATTGTAGCAAATTGCCATCTTTTCACTAGAGTCACTGGATTTCCTGTTTCATTGAAAGAAGAACATGAACGTTCCCAGAATTCCAAATGCATTAAAATAATTTCAACTTTCTGTTAATCAAGGTACACATTGTTGCAGGTGTTTGGAGGAAAGGGTAAAACCCACAAGATTTGTTAAGGAGGAAGTAATTTCATACAGAGTGACCTTGCAGCTGGTAACACTACGAATTTTGGTGTGGGGAAACTGAAGTTATAATGTCTACTGTTGTTCATCCTCTCCTGTTTTGAGAAGCAGAATTCCTGTGTGGAGATAACACACTGTCACAGACATGCTTGAGCCTTCTTTCTGCTGAGAGAAGGAGTGATCATAGAAGCACAGCCTTGTGATAAACTGCTCCTGCAAAAAACCTTTGATCTACTGGGGCCAGCAGCAGCTCCACCCCACCCTGCTGTGCACTAGGATGAGCTGAGCCTAACAGAGCCTGTACCCTTGTGTGTCTCTTTTCACTAGGATAAACTGAGCCTAATGCAGGTGTCTCTCTGTGTGTCTCAGCTGCCCAGTGTTGTCAGAGGGGTGATTAAATAAATCTACTCTTTGCATTTCAGCTGAGGTCTCCTGGTTGCCCTGGTTACCTGTAGGTATTGATTCATACAGTAAGTCACTCATTACTCAGTGTGTGTCGCAGACTTGTGGTACACGCTGAGGAACAAGCTGGAAAACACTGTTACCTATTTCTGTCACCATATTGTGTACTCTTCAAGAAATTTATTACCCTTCTTTTGTGAGAAAATAGAAAACAAAGTCATTTCAAGCTATGCCATTGTTGGTTCACAGGCTCATACTAAAATTGCCAGTTCTATCAATACCATGTACATTAATCTAGAAGTATCAAGGCATAATACCAAATAAAGGTCTAAAAAATGCTTTTGAAAGAGAAAAATGTTCTGTCCCCATTATTATAATTCAGAGGTCAGGCTTGCTGCTATCCTTAACTTGAACAGCACCATGGAATTTAAAGCCTCAGAGAGTGTGATCCTGTAGGCCATAAATAGCCTTCATCTTCCACAACTTTCAGCATGTCACCCAACCTTCAGCAAGTCACCATGTCATCTCTTCTAGCATTTAGTGCTCTTCTTGGCTCTATCTTGGAGGAAGAATCAGAACATTTACCACAGTATTGCTTCTTAATGGAAAGGGCCTTGGAGGTGGGCAAGTTGGAAACCACAGAGAGAGAGACCAGGACTGGTAGTACTTTTTGGAACTCATTGAATTCCAAGTTTCGGTTTCATCAAGAAGAAAAACAGGAAGCTAACTCAGACTGGAGACTCAGTGTGAAACAAAGGCAAATCCTTACAAAAGAATTCCTGCAGAAACAACGTAGAAACTCCTCTGGGCAGAGACTTCCATTTTCCTTTACTTTGATAATAGGTGAAAAATGCATAAAAAGAAACTCAGGAAAAGGCCTGTGCTCCTCACCACATAACGCACTGTTTTTTCTAGTAATGCAATCTTATAACATACCTTTTGGGAAATCAGCTATTCCTGGAGCAGTAGCTGAATTTCCAGTATGAAAATACATGAAATGAATGATGGAAGTTGTCAGAAAGAGCTAAACAGTCCCTGAATAATTGTAACATTTTCCACAGGGAAGAGAAGTCTACAGATCTGTACTGGCATAAAGAGTATGTCAGAAGCACCAAGAAGAATAAAAAAACCTAATTACCTCCCTGATACTCTGATACTCTTTACTTGATCTATACATAACCTAACATTTAAACTGTCAGACTGACTTTTGAAGCAGACATTTGGAGCTGGAAATTCATGAAATCTGGGATCTTTCTCCAACTCAAGTTTGCTGCTTTGATTTTTAAACACCTTTTCTTGCTATCAAAACATATCTGCATTTAGAGAAACACAGTAGTAGCATTTTTTTAGTTCTTACACACAGATGGTTATGTTAGAGCAGTGGGAATGCTCTGAACATGGGGACTAAAAGGTGATGGATTAAAAGCCCTCAAGGATCCTGTGACTCTACAGATCTGGTCTTGAATAGAAAGACACTTTTGCAGAACATGAGTGAGTTCTGTCCTGAGGTCAAGCTGGAGAATATTCCAAATCCAAGAAAACAAACCAAAAGCGCTCCCTTCCTAGCTATTTTATCTATTGTTCGCAGGCGCTCAGAAACCAAAAGAACAGAGTAAAAAAGAGCACAGAAGCATGTTAAAACATGAGGTAGTACCTTTGGGAGGCTTTGATTGTAAAATTAATAAACCTTTACTGCAAAATGAAAAACTACAAGACTTTAACTACCTGATCACAGCAGATAGTTCCAAGTCTCGCAATCTTTTTTTTTTTTTTTCTTTCAAAAGATATTGAATTTTGTCAATTGAAAGTATTTTGCAATTTGTCAAGGTAAAATATCATTATACCTGCTTACATCTTCACAAATTCAGACAGCAATCATATCTGCACTGATTGTTGAGCTGATTATTACTGATAATCCTCCTCCTCAGAAGCATTCAGGAATCAAAACCACATATCCTGAGCTACAATCTGTCACCTCTCATAAAAATAAAAATGACTGTGTTTAGAGAGATCTTAAGGGAGAAGAAGCACTGTATGTTCCACCATTCTGGGAATATGTGACAGGCAGAAACTTATGATGCCTTAACTTCTGGCTAAAGCTGATTTACAACCAGTGGAGCTTCAATTTAATTCCAAATGAATTGGAAGTATTTGACACACACAGAGGAAAAAACCAAAACCTCAGAAGAGAAGAACTTTCTGACAGTTTCAGTGCTGTCTCTTCACTGCTCTGTCAGGCAAAGGTCCAGAGCCCCTGTCACAGTGACAGCCTGAATTTTGGCCCATAAAACACGTAGATGTTTCCTGTGCTGTTCAGTGGTCTCTAGGTAGAAACAGCTCAGCTTCAGAGCCAGTGTGAAGAGGGGGCCAGGAAGTGGGAACCCCTGGCTTGGTTCTTTCTTGTTTTACTGTGCCCTTAGCTGTTTTATTTCCTTCTGCTTCTCCAAGATTAAAGAAGTTGGCCTTATGGGACAGGTGACTGTATTTAAACAGAGGAAGTTTTCTTTCTTGTGTTTTCTTCACAAATAAGGCCTCAAATAGCCTGTGACATAGGAAGGTCAGGAGATACACAGCCACAAAGCTTTTTGGAATTTCTCATTTTAAAATATATATGTCATGTTACACTTTCTTAGAAAACTGGAAGGATACTTACTGTCAATCCTTGTTCTCCTGGTTTTCCTGGCTCACCCTTCAAATAAAAAAAGGAGTGAATAATTTCAGCAACACATCTTGAACCCAGTTTTCTATCTAGTAATAAATTATCTCAAGAATTTTATCCATAAACAGGTATGGCAGCTAACTGCACATTAAACATAATAATTTCTTGCTTTTTAACCTGGTAGTTCAAATCAGAGATATCTTAAGAAGCACTACTTCACACTCATGTAATGGTATAGTTCTCAAGGCAAGAGTTAATATTGGTGCTCTGACTCTGTCCCTTGGTTCCAAACATATTCCATTCCACTGTGCTAAAGGACACAGAGAAAGGTTATTTCCACATTCGTGCTGTATCCCACAGTTTATATATTCCAAGATTACTGGTCTGTATCATCACCTCAGTCAGCAGGCAGAACTTACTGTTGTCAATTACCATGTTCCATAAAACCATGAATACTGGTATTTTGAAGCCATGAAATAATTACTCAGCTGTTAAATACCTGGACTGGCTTTCAAAATAGTAACCCATCATTTCCCCACTGTATTCTCTTTCTGTGGGCACAACTCTACATACAGCCAGAATTTATCTTCTCCCCTTTCTTCCCATATGAACACACATACAATAAAACATATCAGTCATACAATATGGGCTAAAAATACCCATCCAAAACAACCCAGAGCTCCTATCATTTTAGCAGTTTGGTTTATACAGCACTCCTTTGAAAACCCAACTCAGCACAGGGCAGCCCATGCACTATTGTATCAGCACAGCTGCAGGGTCTTCTTTAGCAGCTTTGTCATAAAATAAAGCCTGTCATAAAATTGATGAGAACTCCTGTGATGTTGTTGTTCCTGGCAACTGAAAAGAATCAGAGCTGCTTCTCTGGGTATGCGTGCATTGCACTCAGAAGCAAACACACAGCATCTGCAAGCACACTAAGGACAGCTGGGAGCAAGAAGCTATGGGGGCACACATTCTGGCCAGTCACTGCCCCAAAACACCATCTTACAGCTGTGGTGCCTGTAAACCTTCTTACTTGAGAAGGACAGGCTGGAAGAGAAGCCCTACTTGTCTAACCCTGCAAAAAAGACAATGTCTGCTTAATGGTCACGGGTCACTCTAAGGACAACCTCCTATAGCTGCAGCGCCCCAGCTCATAGCACAGTGCAGCTGCTGTTTTCAGCTCCTGAGCTCAAAGGTCCACACAAGTCTTTACCTAAAAGACAAATCTGTGCTTCCCTTTCAGCTAAGTTCTTCCTTTACAGCTCTCCTATTTGAGTGTGTATCCACAGCCATGGAGCAACAAACCCTCTGAGGATCAGGAACATTAACCTCAGAGTACAGAACAGTAGTGAGGGGCAGCAAACTGGATGGTTTTTACCTGAGTGCTTGTTTGTATCTGATTCTAAAGCAGTATTATGAACTGATTTTTCATAATGTTATAGGGCTTAAGATAGCCACAGCTTAAAAACTATAAAAAGAAACTCTCTCTTGCCATCTAAAGTCAAAATCACTAAAGAACTATTATAAAATGAAATGACCTCATTGCATAAAATGCATGACTTTCCTGTTATGAGAAACACTAATGATCCCTTTGCTAAAAAGCACAAAACAACACACTGTAACTAGCAAGGCCAGCTGGTTCTGCTAGCCCCATCTATGTATGTGAATTCTTAAAACAGCATTGCTGCAGTCAGAAACAGATTCTGGCTTCAGTCTTGCCCTTACTAGATCAAACTAGCACCAACTCTGCTGACCACAGTCCATTTAACTACAATAAAAGAACACAACTGAGACCTAGACGAGGCCCAGTGCCTGATGTGCCACAGGACTAACAAGCAATTAGAAGGTAGCCAAAGTAAATCATCATGAGAGCTACAGACATCTAATGTCATTCCATAACCTTAAGCTAGAACTTTTGAGGGCAGGAACGGTAAAAAAGCCAAGCGAAAACAACAACAGCAGCAGCAGCTCTAGAGTCCTACATGTCTCAACTGGCCAGCTTTGCTGGATTTTCACAGGAAATTTTAGCAGCATTTCACTATTATCATGCTATATCAAATGTAGAGAATTAATACCTGAATAGGATTAGAACAGAAGTGTAAGTATTTTCTCAGTTTTAGCTAAAAAGGCCCTGCAAGAAAAATTTATGCTGTCCTGGCCCCATGTAACAAGTGACACCTTTTCTTCAAGAAACCAGCTTTTGCTCCCAGTGCTGGTCCTCACCTTGCTTGCTCCCCATGTGTCTTCCTGGCCACAATCCTCGCCTTTCATGTATGTCAATGTGTGTGTGCATCTGTACATGTGCCAGTTGATTTTTCATGTCTCTCTCCTGCCTGTGATTCCATTTCTACACTGATAAAACAGTGCCATTCACGGTGAAAAAAGAGATACTTCTTTGAAAGGCATAAAAATTAAGAAGGCCACAAAACATGAAACTAAAAGCAAACACATACTTTTCTAAAAAGTCATGCATTTAGGCATCCATTTAAGAAGTGTGGGATTCATCCTGTGCCTAAAACAAACAATACACAATGTACTGGATTCTGTTCCTTGTCCTAATGAACTACAGGTACTGAGCCAAAGAAAATGTTACTGTTTTTCTTGTTTAAAGATGGCAGAATCTAACTTCAAACTTCCTCATACCCTGGGCAGCTTTAGCAATTTATTACTTTATTCCATGACTTTTGAGGTTAAACCATTAAGAAGTGAGGAAGAAGTCAAGCCCATCCATGCTATAAGGCCTCAAATTCAGCTTTATCTTGAAGTTTGAATAGAAACATGTATTACTCGTGGAAAGGGGTAGACTTTCCTCACACAGCTATTAAACATCACTGAGTGACTGAGAAACCTTAGAAAGTGTAGGGAAACTGCCAAGGGTGGGAGGCAAGGAACCTTGGTGTTACTTCTGGCCCTGCTATACACTTGTTCTGTGTGTGTGGGACTTCAGGTACACCTTGAAACCTGCCAGTGGTTCAGCTTCCATATGTCTTACCTGCTAGTCTTACCTCAGAAAATGTCTTTGACACTCCACTGGCATGCACTTGAGAGAAATGTGCACACCAAAGCAGCAACAGGGTAACTCACCGTTAAGCCGGGCATCCCACGAGGACCATCTTTGCCAGTATCTCCTGGGGGACCTCTGGGTCCTGGTGGCCCTGGAGGTCCAGGGGGTCCAGCTTGTCCTTGGTCCCCCTAAACCAATAAAAAACTCATCACAAATTTGTTTTAGAGGCATCAACCACATAAAACCAGATCAATTCACCCATAAAGAGTGCAAGACAGGCTAGAAGAAGCTGCCATGAACTGGACAGTGGCTTCTTCACTGCTTATGGCAGAAACAGCACTTTGCCTTGAAGACCAACATTTGTATTGGTCTGGTGCAATCAGCCACAAAGCAGAAGGTGCAGATTCTAAACTGCCTGTTATTCCACAGCACATATGCCAAAATTTGGGATGGTCTTGAAATATTTTACTCATCTAGTTCTCCAGAGCAAGTGACTGTTTTTGATAAGCATCTGTTTGCTTCATGATTTGCATAATCATAACAAAGATGAGGCAAAAAAGAAAAGTCGCAACTGAGTATATACAGATTTGCACAGCAATTTTCCAAGCCCATGAATGATACATGGATAGATTTCAAAACTGAGCATGGAAAATCACTGCTTCTTGATGGAGTTGTACATAATTTTCCATCTGTTTTGGGAGGCTGTTTTATAGTGACAATTAGCTAACTCTCTTCATTTTTACCTATTAATTTGTAAAAGTCAATTTTCAAGAGAGTTGTCAAAACATATTACCTCCCCCTCTAAAAAAGGAAAGACACTCCAAAATGGAGCTTTAGATATTTCCAGCACATCACTGCAGACCGCTGGAAAAAGCTGCTGGCATCTCAAACATGGCTCACTTAGCAAAGCCACCCATGGGCTTTTAACTGTTAATACCATTAACAGTTGCTGCATTTCAAAGCATTTTCAAGTGAACAACCTGCTATAAGAAGGCATCTGACAAAAAGGTACAGCAAAGAGTAAACTGAATGTAAAGAAGAACCAGACTCCAGTGAGATGTAGCACTACCTTAATGAGGCGGCGTTTAATGAGCTGCTGATCAGCAGAGAGAAACCCATGATTGATTTTAGGAAACACCATCTGATCAGGCAGGTGAGGTCAAAGGTTGAAGATCAGAGATGAGAGAATTGAAGAATAGACATCAGAAGGCCCGAGAAAGAAATAAAGACATAATCATTAGATTTGTAATAGCTATTATAATATGAACTGGTGCTTCCGTCTTAAAGAAACTGTGCATTTTATTTTGGAAAAAGGTTACTTCTATTGTACAGGACATACTGCTATGATTTAAATCATATACAGTGACTTAAATGCATAACTGTTTTCTCCCCAGATCTTGCATGAGAATTCTGCATGTGTATTAGTTTTTTCATTACTTAGGCTCTAAAAATCAGTATTTTTATATGTTGTTTTTTCAGCAAAGCTTCTAGAGACAAAGCACCAGTTCAACTTTCAGTCAGATTTTCTAACCAGCATAGTGTGCCATGAAGAATGGTGTTATTTTTATAAGGTCTGAAGTTCCAGGTTGACCAGATTGCTTCCTGCTTAATTTGCAAATCCACTTTGAAAAAATCTGGACGTACAGATTAAACCTCTGATATCTAACACAAATATCTGACTCTATGTGTAACCAGGATAGAGTTCACTGACATTTTCCACGCTCATGTATGCCTCAGGGAAGCATAACAACAGAAAAAAAAACTCATCTGAAAATAAAATACTGACCAAGACCATGGGGAATGTAGGCATTTCCAGAGGTACACAGTTACAGATTTGATTCCACGCTCTGCATCAGGAGTACTTAGATCAATGCAAAGGCAGTGAGGGGTGGCTTAGGTCCACCATAAGAATTCACTGGTATTCCATGCTAAAAACTATTTTTCATGTGCACTGTTATGCTGATACAGATAGACCTGACTGAACAGGTACGTGTCAGCCACAAACCTTGACGGTGAGGATCTGATTACTGTGCAGAGCAGCAACTGTGGGGAAGCCTGGCAGACCCTAGGGACACAGCATAACATGGTACGAGAACAGCACGACACAAACATCACAGTGACAATTTACTAACAGACAAACAGAACAAACACTACGTTTAGTACACCCCATACTGCTGACAGACAGGAAATGGCCTCTCTGTCATATGGGAAACAGAGTTAAGTCTGCACTGCATGGCAGATGCAATTTGATACTTCACAATGAAAATATCAAGAGATTTTAGAAGGAGCAATCCCATGAAGGTGTCTTTCCTTAAAATTACAATTGTTATGATCATTTGAAAATTGTTAAGACTATCAGACAGCAGATAATGGTTGAAATGGTTGAGCCATTTTCAATTTAAATGTACTACAGCAATTTGAGATCTATGTAGAAAGCCTGGACTCTGGATTGCTGCAGAAGCTGACAGCAATGGCAGTATATTCTGAAGAGCTTTGAATAATTAATATCCTGCTCCTCACACTCTGTTTAACATATGACATTCAGCACATAAATTGGTAGCACATACACAACTATGAACACTGAACATAAATCTACTGCTAGATCTTGGGTAGTCCATGATGACCATGGTCAAAGTTTTCAAAACATACATAGCAGTATTTCCACATTAACTTCTACCCCCTCAGTTGCTGTATGCCACATATGGTTTATCATATTTTACTCTACCAAGATGTGCAGAACTTGTACTGTACTGGCACAAAAAGGGAAGAGTGCAGTGATTGTGGCCTGTTGTCACAATATTATAAGGGGGTGAATTCAGCTCTCAGTTCAACACCTTTTCTTGAGCTGCCTTGTAGGGTGTGAATTAAACCTTCTTATAAAGCCAAAACCTTATGCGGTTGAGCAGTGAATTCCTAAAAAGAGGGAAATCTATAAATCCTCTCCTTGCCTTTAGCACAGCACATTGTCAGAAGCAGAGGCTTGTTCAATGGCAGAGAGACATTAGGCTGAGGAACATTAAATGAAATACATCCAGGGAGCTCTAAGCTCCCAATATGCCCACAGACAACCTTTATGAGGTAGAGTTGGCACAGCCCCTCTGGGGGCTACTCCTGGAGCAAACATCTGCACCATGCCAGCTTAGCACCTCCTAAAGGGAAGGCTCCACTGGTGCAGCCCATGTTGCTGTAGCACATGAGCTTTTCCTAGCCCAGCTGGCCTGCTGGGGAGCACCACCAGGCCACGGCAGCCGGCCAGGTCTCTCAGCTGCAGCAGATTCTTTTAATGTGGCAAATACTTGCTCTGTTCATCACACCAGAGAGCCTGTGGATCACAAAGACTGCACCAGTCTTTACAAAAAATGCAGAGTTACTTTTTGATGCATACATGTCCTTCACTAGCATCTTAGAGATGCATTTAGCATTTTTATTCCTGCTCTACATCCGTGAGATGAAGCTGAGACCCTGTAAGTTGACCCTATAAAGTCAGTGGCTAAATGCAGCTTTCCCACTTCACTGGGATGAATCGTAGTGTGGCTTAACCACATTGCTCAGTGACCTGAAATCTCCTCTTTAGAAACAAATAAACAGAAAACAAAACCAAAAAAGGCTAAAACTCACAACATATAAGGGGACTCATTCCAGAGACACTGGTAAGACTGGAATGATACATCATTTAAGAAACAGATGTATCAAGTTTTCATTTCTCTTATTATAGAATATAAGTTAAAGAAGTTATTACATAGTAATGTGTCAGAATCTTTACATCTGTGACTCATTAGCCCTGCTGTGCACATGATCCATTTCTCATCTAGATAAAACTACAATACCCATGTAATGGAAATGAGCACAAACAAGAAACCCACATAAGAAGTAAAATCTGAATAGCAAGCAATAAATGACACTTATTGAAAAAATGGATAAACAGAAAATTTTTAAACAACTTCATTTTCACTCATCAGCCTTTAGAATTACAGCACAGTAATTTTCAGTTACCTCTAAATTAGCGTATTTGCAACTTGATGTTTTAAACTCATATTAAATTTGATATATATCTTATATATATATATATCTTCAACATGTAGGAGAACTGAGAATTAATTAAGAAAGGCACTTATTCAGAATATATAGTGGTTTGTCATGAAAGATTTTCTTTTTCCTTGAGAAGCAATGAAAGTCTTGGGAAAGATTTATGTAGGTGTACACAGAACCATTTACATTCAGCACTTCACAGTCCAGTCCCAGCATTCCCAAAGCTTCCCAGCATTAGACAGGCAAGTTCAAGACTAGCTGTCAGTACTGCAGTGTTCTGCCTACATGAACAACACATAAGAAAAGGGTCCATCCCATTCTTTCATCTGCAGCTTAGTTACTTCTTCCAGCTTGTTCCCAAGTAGGACAAAGCTTTCTTTCCTTTGCCCAAAGTGGTCATAATCTCAAACCTGACAGTCAGACACATGCAATGCCAGTTTGGACCTGGATCATCTCCCCATGAGTAACACATATCTTTGGAGAGAGCCAGAAACATGGGAACACTAAATGGAACCCAGCAGACTCTACAATAGGTCCATAGTTTTTGCATGTGTGAGAGGCTTTAGAAGGCATTGCACCCTCTGGCATCCATGAAAGATAATGCTGGCACACAATGAGCTTCTAAAAAGGCATAAAAAGAGCTATCCTTCCCACAAAATGAGTTCTCTTCCTTCCCTGTCACTCTGCTATAAATATAGCCACAAATATCCCCTGGATCTGTTTTATTATTTTTCCCTATCGAAAGCTGTTCTCAACGACGGATTCAAAGTTACTAAATTTTCTCTTTATTTGGTTTGATTCTTGAACTGCACATAGGAAGGGTTCTTGTCCTACACCCTGGGAGGCCCTAACAGAATACAAAACACTACAGTCATCAACAGCGACCACTGGTCTACTAAATTCCTCTGCTGACAGCTACTCAAGCTCACCCTGAAATGCTAGCCGGTTACAATTTCCAAATTAGCACAGTTGCTGCATGCCTCACTGCCATTTTTGCCCAAATGCCAAGCAAAACACGATATCTGATGGAGGCCAACAGCCATGGGACAACATTACCCATCTGAAAGTGCAGGTAAAGCCAACTTGCCCCATACAATGGCTACTGAGAAAACTGAGGGATGCCAGAACATCATAACATTCCCTCTGATTTTTTTTTACTTGGATGAAATAGTTCTCCTTGAAGAATTACAGCCTTGAAGGATGTAATTCCCACTAGCTGTCCTAGATTTTTCACAGGACTCTCAGCTTTGTCCATTGGTCCACACGAGGTCAATATTGTAAGGTCATCATAACCCTGTCAGAGTCAAGTATGATAACATTAAGCAGCAGTGTTACTGGTTTGACACAGTGCTGCATACACTCCAGTTTAACTACTGCATTTGCTCAGTATAGTAAATGTCACAGTCCTCTCTAGGATTTTCCTTCTGACCTGCCAATAAACCCAAGCTGCACAAGCTTGCATGTTCCTGTGAAGACATGGTAAACGAGACAGGAATTACCACCTGCTGTTCTCTTGCACTTCCTAAGGTTACAGCCAGCTGCTGCTATTTCACATCAAATCACACAGGCTTCAGGCCAGAGTGATCCTGACACTCTTTATGGCTGCTCTGCCTCTCTCCAACACCACCTCCAGTTCTAATTAATCCCTCAGACTGAGTGCCAGTCCTGTGGCTAATTATTGTACCTGCCTTAGGGAATACAGTGTTTGGTATCACCCTGTACAGTGCCATGGACTCTCAGCAGGAGCTCTCTTATATAATCCCTTTTATCATAACTGCTGCTTTCTCCAGCAGCAAATCTGCTAACAAAAACAGTACACCACAACAAGAATACAGAATTTTCTTTTCACTTAGGTAAACGTTCAGCAAAGAGTTCTGATTCAAATACATTGTATAATGATCCAGACTTTGTAAAGAATAGTAACAATGCAGTGTTTAAGATCTAGCATAAACAGATGACTGTAGAAGCATTATTTCCTATGACCTCTGTGAAATCTACCTGACACTGCATTCAAACTGAATAAAACTGGACAAAGCCAACACTTCTCTATTTTTGTCCCATTATCAAATGAATTTTCAGTGAGGCAAAATATATTTTCTACACAACTCAATT